GAGCCCCCGGGACGGCCCCACGACCTCAAGGTTCACCGCCCCTGGCGCACTCCTGGCCAAGCGCCGATCCAAGAAAACAGCGCGGGCCTGCGAACATTTATGTCTATGCAGAGCTTTCATCTTCTAGGATCGGTGTGTGTGTGTGTGTGTGTGTGTGCGTGTGTGTGTGTGTGTGTGTGTGTGTGTGTGCACGGGTAGTTGGCCAAGCCAAGAGCGCGCGCGTGTGTGTGTGTGTGTCTGTGTGTGTGTGTGTGCGTGCGTGAGTGTGTGCGTGCGTGCGTGCGTGCGTGCGTGCGTGCGTGTGTGTGTGTGTGTATGTGCGTGTGTGTGTGTGTGTGTGTGTGTGTATGTGTGTGTGTCTACGTGTGTGTGCGTGTGTGTTGGTGTGTGTGTGTGTGTGTGTGTGTGCATGTGCGCGTGTGTATGTGTATGTGTGTGTGTCTTTGTGCACGGGCTCCCGGCCGGAAGTATGTCTACGGCGATGTCTCTTCTCCCCCGCCCTCCCCCCTTCCGAGGGGCAGCGCTCAGTGGGGGACCAGCCCAGGGGCGGGGGACACGTCGAGCTCGCAGGAGGAGGAGGAGGAGGAGGAGGAGGAGGGGGACACGTCGAGCTCGCATCGGCGGGACACCGCCGCTCGCTCGGCGATCGGCCCCCGATGCGGCACCCGCACGCTCCCGGGCCGCGTGGCCTCTCGGCGATCCGCGGGCGACTGGGGGCCGAGGCGTCCCCCCTGGAGGCCATCCCCCCCCCCCGAACGCTCGAGCAGGAGATCGACTGCACACTTGATTTGCTCCAGAACTTGCACTCTCGTCCAACATGCGAAACATAGGAATAATCTCAGCATGTATGTATGTATGTATGTATGTATGTTATGTTATGTATTGTATTGTATTGTCTTGTCTTGTCTTGTCTTGTCTTGTCTTGTCTTGTCTTGTCTTGTCTTGTACTGTATTGTATTGTATTGTATTGTATGTATGTATGCATGCATGTATGTATGTATTAAGGTGTGTGTGTATATATGAGAGAACGCGCCCGTGGAACACTCGCAAAAAAGGGGGGAGCTCCCAGTTGGCTACCCCCCCCTTGGACCTCCCCTGCCCCTCGGAGGCTCCCCCCCCCTCCCTCCCCGCCTTTCCAAAAGGGGGTGGGCTTAGGTCCCACCTCCCCCTTTTGGGTACCCCCCCTTGGAACCCCCCTTCCGAAATCCCCCCCTTTCTTTTTAGCTAAGGACGGGGGCTTGGAAGCCCCCCCCCTCTGGCTAAAGGAAAGGCGCCGAAGACAAAAAGGGCGTCGAAAACCAACAGGACGCCAAAAATCAAAGTGCCACCGAAAACCGTAAGGGCGCCGAAAACCACTGGCGCGCAGAAAACCGAAGGAATGCTGAAAACAGAAATGGCGTCGAAAACCAAAGGTGCGCCGAAAGCCAAGGGTGCGCCGAAAACCAAAAGGGCTGCCGAAAACAAAAAAAAAGCCTAAAAAGCAAAGCCGAACACCAAAGGTCGCCGAAAACCAACGATGCGCCGAAAACCCAATGAGTACCGAAAGCCAAGGATGTGCCGAACACCAAAGAAGCGCAGAAAACCGAAGGGGTATCGAAAACCAAAGGGGCATCGATAAACCATCAGGGCGCCAACAATCAAAAGGGCGCCGAACCCCCAAAGCGGTTCCGAAAACCAGAGGAGAGCCGAACACTAAATGAGCGCCGAAAACCAAAGGTGCGCCGAGAACCGCAGGGGCGCCGAAAACCAAAGGAGCACCGAAATCCAAAGGGGCGCCGAAAACCAAAAGGGCGCCGAACACCATAAGGGCGCCGAACGCCCAAAGGCGCCGAAAAGTAAAAGGAACGCCGAACACCAAAATGGCGCAGAAAACGATGCGCCGAAAACCAAAAAACGACGCCGAAAAACCACAAGATCGGCGATAACCAAAAGGGCGCCGAAAACCAAAGGGGCACCGTAAACAACAGTAACTCCGAAGACCGACAAGGCGCCGAAAAAAAATGGCGCGGAAGACCATATGAGGTCAGATAACCAAAAGGGCGCCGAAAACCAAAGGAGCGCCGATAACCAAACGGACGTCGAACACCACAGGAGCGCCCAAAACCAAAGGCGCGCTGAAAGCCAATGTGCGCCGAAAGCCAAAGGGACGCCGAAAACCAAAGAGCGTCGAAAACCAAACGGGCGCCGAAAACCAACGATGCGCCGACAACCAAAGAGTGGGCAGAAACCAAGGGGGGCGCCGAAAACCAAAGGAGCGCCGAAAACCACAGGAGCGCCGAAAAGCAAAGGAACGCCGAAAACCAAGGGGGCGCCAAAAACCAAAAGGGTGTTAACAACCAAACGGGCGTCGAAAACCAACGATGCGCCGGAAACCAAAGGGTGGCCAGAAAACTAAGAAATGGCGCGCCGAAAACCAAAGGAGCCCCGAAAACCACAGGAGCGCCGAAAACCAAAGGGGCACCGAAAAGCAAAGGGGCGCCACACACCAACGGGGCGCCTACAATCAAAGGGGCGCCGAAAACCAAACGGGCGCCGAAAACCAAAGAGACGCCGAAAACCACAAGTGCGCCGAAAACCATAAAGGGGCGCCAAAAACCAAAGCAGAACAGTAGATTCGAAGCCCCCCCCCCTCAGCCAGGGCGTTCCATCTGGAAATGGCGACAGAAGGAGGGGAGGGAAGGGGGGTAGCTTCGGACCCCCCCCCCCTCTCTTTTTGGGCAGGGGAGGGGGGGGGGCAGCTTCCAAGCGCGCCCCCCTTTGGTCAGGGACCCCCCGACTACAAGATCCGAACAAAAGGAGGGGGGGGGACCGGGGAAGGGTCAGCCTGACCCCGGGCCCCGAAAAGGCATGGATGGGGGGTGGGGGTGATAGCTTGAAGCTGGGGCCCCACTTTTTAATAAGGAGTGTTCCACGGGCGCTCTTACATGCATCTAAACATCTAATACATTGGTACATGCATGTCTACATGTAACTATGTGTATGCATGTATGTATGCATGCATGCATGCATGCATGCATGCATGCATGCTTGTATGTATGTATGTAGGTAGGTAGGTAGGCAGGTAGGTAGGTACGTACGTACGTATGTAAGCATCTATATTTATGCACATGTAGTCATATAGTATATAAATGTCTATAATGTTTTAGTCCTGGTATATTCTACGACAGAGGAAATTCTGGGGTACATCTCTTCTGCAACCGATCCCCTCGCCGAGACGCTGCTCCCGGCACTCGGCGGCGGCGGCTGAGGGCGGCCTCTGCAGCTGCATGGGCCCCTCCCGCCGGCGCGGGCACGCGAGGTCCGCGAGGGCGTCGGCCTGGGCGGGCGCGGGGCCGCGCGGCCGCTACGCGGGCGTGCCTCGCTGGGGGGCGCTGGGGGACGGCGACGCAGACGACGGCGACGAGGGCGAGGGCGACGACGAGGGCCACCTCCTCCTCCTCCTCCTCCTCCTCCTCCTCCTCCTCCTCCTCCTCCACTCTCCTCCTGCTGCTCCTCCTCCTTCTCCTTCTCGTCCTCCTCCTCCACTCTCCTCCTGCTGCTCCTCCTCCTCCTCCTCGTCCTCCTCCTCCTCCTCCTCCTGACGAGGACGACGGCAACCGCGGCGCCGTGACGGGCAAGGGGGGCATGGGGAGGGGGAGGCGGAGGAAGGCAGGGGATGGGGCGGGGACTGAAAGAAGGGGGGGAGAGGATGGGAGGGTCGAGGCGAGGAGAGGGAGGGCTTTTTGGGGGAGGCTGAGGTGAGGGAGGGAGGGGAGAGGCAGTGAGGGACTGGCGGACGGATGGGGGCAGGGAGGGGGGCGGACGGGGAGGAGGCGGATCAGCAGCATGAGTATGTTGACGAGAAGGAGCATGAGGAGATGGAAGATTACGATGATGAGGACGGGGAAGAGGAACAGGAGTAGGAGGATGGAGTGAAGAGCCGCAAGAGAGGGAATGAACAATGCAAGGCAGGAGCGAAAGACAATGGGGATAGTCCAAGGGCTGGCAGGGCGAGCCGGGGACCGCGGACTGGGCGCGACGAAGGACATCGGTGCCACACGATTGATGGTCGCAGGCAAGATGCTTGGGGAGAGGAGCTCAGGCAAGTGGGCGTGGCAGGGCTGCGCATGCGCACCCGTGAGGCAGTCGTGGCGAGTGCGAGGAGGGTGATGGCAGTACAGTCGAACCTGATTGGAGAGGACACGCGGAGAGGACGCAAGACACGTCTCCCGAGGGCCACGCTGCCCAGGAGAGATGCGGAGGACGCGGGGCGCGAACCACAGGACACGGTGGGTGCCCTCGATCTGCACGGGCCGACCTGCTGAGGAAACTCGACTGCAGCGATGGAAGCGGCAACCGTTAGGGGAACGAGAAGTGACACAAACCTACAACCTCGGAGGTCCGCGCGGACTTCTCGGATCGGCGCTCGACCCCCCTGGCGCGCTTTGCGCGCCATGGAGGGGCGTCCAGCCAGGGAGGGGGTTCCAGCGCTGATCCGAGAAATCCGCGCGGATCTCCGAGTTTGTGTGTTCATGTTATGGCTCGTTCCCCTGACAACTTGCCGTCGCTCGGACGTCCATTCCCCGTGCATCTTTCGGTTTCGTGCGTGCTTTTTTTTGCTCGATGGTCCAGGATTGCCCTGGACGGTCCTCGCCGAGAAAAAATGCACACGTCCGAGCGATGCCAAGACAGTGGCCAGGTAAAGCAACCAACAGCTGTCCGGGCAGGCGCCCTCGGAGGTCCGCGCGGGCTTCTCGGGTCGGCGCTGGGAGCCTCCCCGCCCCCGTGGCTGCGCGGGTGGCGCCGCCGCGACAGGGACCCAGCGCCGACCCGAGACGCCAGCTCTGTGCCGCCGTCGCAGGCAGAGGGGAATTCGCCACGTGACGCGAGGCTCCCTCCCCCCACGTCATCCTCCTCCTCCTCCTCCTCCTCCTCCTCTTTTTCTCCTCCTCCTCCTCCTCCTCATCCTCTATTCCTCCTCCTCCTCCTCATCCTCTATTCCTCCTCCTCCTCCTCCTCCTCCCGCTCCTCCTCCGATTCGCATCGCGCCACGGATCCAAGTGGCCGATGTCGGTCCTCACGAAGACAGAGCGGCGCCAGAGGGAAGCATGATGACCGCAGTGCGCACTCCGCCGCCGCTTCGCTGCCAGCGGCCGCGCACTCCTCACTCGCGCCTGCCCGTGTGAGACGTGAGACGTAACGTCACTGTCGGGACAGAGCTTAAAATGAGAAAAAACGCCAACAACATCAAAACTTTTGGCGCCCCGCGCTGATTGCTTGGCCCTGCGCTGGACCCCCCCTCCATGGCGCGCGGATCTGCGCCAGCGGCGGCGCCGCCGGGGGGAGCCCAGCGCGGACCCAAGAAATCCGCGTGGAGCGCCAAACATTGAGGAGGAGGAGGAGGAGGAGGAGGGCCACCTTGCATTGAGGAGGAGGAGGAGGAGGAGGAGGAGGAGGAGGAGGAGGAGGAGCAGGAGCAGGAGCAGGAGCAGGAGGAGGAGGAGGAGGAGGAGGAGGAGGAGGAGGAGGAGGAGGAGCTCCTCCTCCTCCCAGGTTCATGCCGTTCGCTCTCCTTCGGGAGCAAACGCAGACAGACCCGCGCGCACGGCCGGCCCCTGCCCGGGGCGAGCCGCCGCTCCGCGGCTGGGCCGCGCCGTGGCGCCCGTGCGAGGCCTCTGCTCTACAGTCTGTACACAACGAGGCCTCGCACGGCCTCGGCCGCGCCGCGCGCCCCGGCCCCCCCCAGAGGAAGAAGAAGACTCCACAACGATACAGGGCAGTTCATAAGACATAGGATTTTTTTAAACTCTAGGATTATTGATACATGCTTCCTGCATGGATAAATGTATGCATGAACTCTTCGTTGTTTTTGGTACTAATCCCCTGCATTTTTAATACATGATCCGCACGCGGAGCATGTCTTGAAAACGGCACTGTAAGCAATACAAGTAGCTCCTAGCCCTCTGCGAGGGGACCAGAGTTGGGAGGGCCAGCGCATCAGTGATAGGGAGTCTTTCCTGCAGACGCATGTCTGATCCCTAATGCGAGCACGGGGACCTCAGCGAGGCCACGCCTCCATCGTGTTATTGGGGTTGGGATGTTACTATCCCTAATGCGAAGACGGGGACCTCAGCGAGGCCACGTCTTCATCGTGTTATTGGGGTTGGGGGTTCTTTTGTGCACGATCGTGTAAACAGAAACTTTCGGCGCTCCGCGCGGATTTCTCGGATGCTCGCTGGGTCCCCCTGGCGGCGCCGCCCCTGGCGCGCGGAGCGCGCCAAGGGAGGGGGTCTAGCGCAGATCCGAGAAACCCGCGCGGGGCGCCGACAATCTATGTTTGTGCCGCTTTCCCTTCTCCGAGCCCCGCCTCCAATCGCGGAGCGGCCGAGCACGGTGGAGGATAATCACTCACTGAGCAGGGGCCGACCATCCCAGCATTCCTGTGGGCCTACGAAGTCATGTTTTTAGAGCATAATGATGTTCCAGTGCCGGAACCAATGTCCTTTGAACAAAAAACGATGTGAGAAAGCGAGACGGTATCAACCAGCAACTTTCTTACACAATTTCGTGCGCGCGACAAAAGTTCTTAGAACATTCTCTGGTGTGCCTAGAGGTAAGCGGACGTTTTCTTTTTCGGCGCTTCGGCCTTGGGCGGGAGGGGATGTGTGTAGGGGGGGGGGGGCTGGCTCTGGACCTCTGCCTGGTGCGACTGTTTGCACCAGCGCGTCCCATGGGGGAGACCCCATCTGCCTGAACCAGGCGACAAAAACACGGAAGATCTACAATTCAGTCGGGCGTGTCTCCCTACAGGGGAATTTCGAGCGAAAAAAATAAAACAAACTCGACAAATACTCCCCAAATGGGCAAACATAGTCAACAAATCGTCCCCGGACTTTTTAAAACATGCTATTCTTGAAGATGCCTCCTGTAGGAGGGACAGGCCCGACTTCGATCTACAACAATGAAGAAGAACGATCGCTAATCCAGGACGCCTCGCCACTGCTCGAACTCAGGGCCTGCCGAGCCCGCCGTGCGCCTGCAGCCACCGCGCCAGCCGCGGGGCGCCAGCCTGCGGCGGCCCCGCCCCGCACAAGCAGGAGATCGGCCGCTGGTCGTAGGGCGCGCCGCAGCCGTAGCAGAAGTCCGCGCCGCAGCGGCAGTGCATGTGGTCACAGCCGACCTCCTCTGATGGGCAAGTCTTCCACCACCACCACCAGCAGGAGGGGGAGGGGGTCCTCCTCCTCCTCCTCCTCCTCCTCCTCCTCCTCCTCCTCGTCCTCCGTCCCCCATCCAAGTTATGGTGGTGGTGGTGGTGATGGTGGAAGACAGGCCCATCCTCCTGGGAGGAGGACACCAAGACTTACCAGAAGACAAAAAACGCCGCGAGCGTAAACTTTTGGCGCTCCGCGCGGATGTCTTGGGTCTGCGCTGAACGCTCCTTCCCTGGTGGGCGGGGCGCGCCAGGGGCGGCGCCGGAGGCGCCGCCGTGGGGGTCCCAGCGCGGATCCAAGAAATCCGCGCGGAGCGCCAAAAGCTTATGTTTACGGCGTGTTCTCCTCGGGTGCCCCCAGGATTCTCAGGCGGCCCTCAGGGCACCCCTCACGAGGCCCAGAGGGCCCCAGGGGCTCAAAAACGGGGCGAAAAGCTGGGGGCACCTTGGGCCAGCGGCACTTCTAGCAACACCCGATCTTCTTTTTGGACGCCCGAAATGGGTACGGAAAGAATGTGCACAATGCCCAACAACAAACGTTGTCCCAAACCAACGGCGGCCGGTGTTGGGCAGGCGGCCTTCTGTCTCGAATGGACACAGGCCGCGGCGGCGTGGACAACGAGCCCGGTTCAGAATGAACCAGATCCGCTGCTGGGCAGTGTGCCCACTCTTTCCGTGCCCATTTCGTTCGTGCAGCTTCTTCGATTGGGGGAGGACGCCAAGTCGTACGGTAGTCAAGGAGGAGGAGGAGGAGGAAGAGGAGGAGGAGGAGGAGGAGGAGGAGGAGGAGGAGGAGGAGGAGGAGGAGGGGGAGTCGTGCTACCTGGAGGAGCGGAGAGGGGGCTTCTCTGGCCACGGCGGGCCGAGGCCACGAGCAGGCTCCACGGCAGATCCAGGGATCGGCCAGAGCGCCCGGGCCCCTCTGGAGCCCAAGGCGGTCAGGACTTCAGCGTCCTGGCTGTACCCGTCGGTCGGAAGAAGCGGGCCGATGATAACGATAATGATGATGAAGAAGAAGATGAAGATGGCGATGAAGATGATGACGATGATGATGATGCTGAAGACAATGATGAATCCAATACGGATGATGAGGAAGCTGATGAAGGTGATGATTAATATGGTACGGATGATGATGATGATGATGATGATGATGATGATGATGATGATGATGATGATGATGACGAACATGATGATGATGATGATGATGATTATGAATGTGATACTGATGAGGATCATGAACATGAACATGATGATGATGATGACGATGACGATGACGATGATGATGATGATGATGATGATGATGATGATGATGATGATCATCATGATCGAGCGGATCGAAACATGAAGTAAAAAACACGTTGAAAGCAAATCGGACCTCCACCCGCCCCCTTCCAGCAAGAGAGCGGGGGAAGCCGCTCGATCCGGAAGGTAGGAAGGCGCCTGAATTAGAGTGGGATCTGGGGTTCTAACCCCCCCCCCTCCTCTCTCCTCCCTTCTCCCTGCTTCCTCTTCTCTTCTCACCTCCTTCTCCTCCTTTCTTCCGCCTCCTCCTACACCTGCACTGACCTTGGCTGGGTCCATCCTGGACCCAGGGTGGCGCACGCTCCCGCGCCTTCTAAGCAGCGGTGGTGCTCCTAAGACGCCTTCCCCCCTCCCCCTGCCCCCCCTTCTGCGCGTGGCCGCATACACGCGTGCACGGTCGGAGGCCCGCGCAGCCTCAGAACAATAGGCTGAAATTCTTGTTTGAGCAGGGACCGACCGTCCCGGCATTCCTATAGTCCTACCACGAACTGTTCTAAAACAAGACAGGCTCCGCCAGAAATGTTCTAACATTTCGTGGAAACCACAAAAGATTCTTAGAACATTGTTTGGTAGGGCTATAGGCGAGCCAAGACGCTTCGCCACTGCTTGACTTGTCTCTTCTTTGGGATCCTGGGCTGGCCTTGACCCGGTCAAGATCGGTGCTGGCTCTTGACCAGTGCGGTCCTCGTGCTGCCGCAAGGAGCGACGAATGAGGAGCGAAACTGACGCTTTTGGCCGCGGCGAGTCTCGGCCACGAATCGGTTCCCCGAACTAGATCTAAGGAACGGCCCAACAACCAAAGCGCCCCGTGACAGTTTTCGTGTTCGGCATTTCGACATTGGGCGGAAGGGGAGGGGGAAAAGCAAAGGGGTCTGTTTGCAGCAGTGCGTCCCATGGGGGAGGCTCCTCCTGCTTGAGGCATGTGCCGAAAACAAGCAAGATCTACTCCACGGAGGGGGGTGCGAGGGCCCGCTCCGATCGGCAGAACAATTAATGTAAGATAACGATCACCTCTCAAACACGTCACGGTCCTTGTTTCCGTAGTGCCCGGCTCCCATGCGCCCCCCACTTCGGGAGCGCCTGGCCTGGCCTGGGGTGAGGGAGCGCGCCAGGGGGGTAGGAGCATCAAGCTGGAATCGGCGATGCGCCGATAGATCGGCGATCGTCCACCGATAGCGAATCTGCACCTTCCTGGGTGGGGTGGGTCATCGAACCCGATTTGGGGCTGATGCATACCCCTGAGCCGGGTCCCCCTTCTGTTGCCCCTGGTGGGGTCTGGCCAGATCCGCCTGGACCAGGGCCTCCAGATCGGGCCCCAGGAAGCCTGGTGGCATCTGGCCAGCCTCCCTCTCTGGCTCCTCCGGACGAGCAGCCAAGCAGATCCAACCATAAACTTTCGTTGGAGGTGGGGCTTCTTTGATCGACGCCTGGCGCCCTCCTCCCACTCCCCCACGTCAAGATGGAGAGGGAGTGGGAGGAGGAGGAGGAGGAGGAGGAGGAGGAGGAGGAGGAGGAGGAGGAGGAGGAGGAGGAGGAGGAGGAGGAGGAGGAGGAGGAGGAGGAGGAGGAGGAGGGGAGGACGAGGACGAGAGACGAGGACGAGGAGGAGGAGGAGGGAGGAGGAGGAGGAGGAGGAGTAGGAGAGGAAGGAGGAGGAGGAGAGGAGGAGGAGGAGGAGGAGGAGGAGGAGGAGGAGGAGGAGGAGGAGGAGGAGGAGGAGGGGGAGGAGAGAGGAGGAGAGAGGAGGGAGGCGAAGGGAGGAGAAGGGAGGACGGAGGAGGTGGGAGGAGGAGGAGGGGGGAGGAGGGAGGAGGGGGAGGGGGGAGGAGGGGGGAGGGGGCAGGAAGGTGGAAAGAGGAGGGGGGAGGAGGGAGGAGGGAGGACGGAGGGAGGAGGAGGAGGGGAGAAGGAGGGGGGAAGAGGGAGGAGGAGAAAGGAGAGAGGACGGACAGAGGGTTGCCGAAGGCGCAGGGGGAGACGACGACGACGACGACGACTGGCGCGCTCCGCGTGCCAGGGCCGGCGCCCAAGCCGCCACACCGACTGTGCGGGGAGGAGGGGCCCAGCGCCAGCACGACAAATCCGCGCGGACCTTCGATAAATTGTGCTGTGGAATCTGTTGGTTCGCGATTCCTCTCCCGACTCATTCGTTTCTGTGAGTCGCTGCTTGACCAATAGACAAAAACTCGCTACGCTTTTCCTCGGGTCCCTTGGCGACCATGAGAAATTGTCCCCTAGACTTCTCTTGGGGTGCGGTTTGACGAAGACTTCAATGGCAACCCAACCATGACTCACCATGACCTCCCAGACGCCCAGAGAGACAGAACACATGCAACCACCTCACCCCCCCTGACATTCCGCGTCGCGCAACGAATACAACATCGTGGCGATCCTTGCGGACGATGATCAAGCACTTCGGGCACGCCTGTAGAGGCCTCCCAAAATGGAACCAAGAAGGTAGGGTCGGAAAATCGCCGCCTCGCCGATACCCCGGCGATGCACCGGCGATGCATCGGCGGCGTCGGCGATGCATCGGTGTTGTCGGCGTGAAGAAACCGGGCTCCACATCGAGCCGCATCGCCGATGCATCGGCGACGCGGCGCGATCCCCCGACACCACCCTCTCGGACCCCATGTGAGCGACGAGCAGAAGCGGGTCTTGCGCGAGCTGGCCATTGCTCGGACGTCCATTCCCCGTGTTTTTTTCGGTTTCGTGCGTGGCTTTTTCGCCAAATTATCAAGGATGCTCCTCGATGGTCCTCGCCGAAAGAAAAATGCACACGTCCGAGCGATGCCAAGCGAGATGACATCTCGGCCCCACGCCGCGGCTTACGCGGGCCGCCAGCGTGGCACGCTGCATGGGGAGACGGGGCCGCCCGCGCGCGACCTCACGCGGGAAGCTTGCGCGCGAATGTCGGCGCCATCGACCTCGGGTTTGTCTGCGTCGCTCCTCTGAGGGGCAACGACAGGGGGCGACTGGCACCAGGGGGGGAACGTCGACCTGGCATCGGCGATACACCGCCGACATGCCCGCGATGGCGAGACCGCACCTTCCTGGGCGGGTTAGGGCCATCGGGCCCCTATCGGCGATCCATGGGCGATTGGGGGTCGAGGCCCCCCCCCTTTGCCTATCTCCCCCCTGACCGCCAGTCGGGAGAAGTAGGTAGAAGCATGAAGTAGGAAGGCTGATTAAGTAGATTGGGTTCGGGCCCGCCCAAAGAACAGCAAACAACAAACAACGACAACAACAGCATATCAATTCTTGAAGTAGGAAGGCGCTTGAAGCAAATTGGCTTCTGGGAGCCCAAAGCTGCATACTTTCAACGACCGGCGTTTACAGTTTGGGGAGACCAAAGATGTACCAATACCGCTACTCCCCAGACCTCTCCCGGGGTGCGTTCTGACCAGGGCTTCGAGGCGAATCCAGCGGCGGCGACGAGGGCCTCCCAGGAGGCCGCTCAAGGGGGAAACCAAGGAAGGGTAGCCGTATGGGTACCTTTTTTGAGCAGGGACCGACCGTGCCGGCATTCCTATAGGCCTACAAGGAAATCTTCCTGGAATCCCCCCAAAGGTGGTAAATTCTGCACTCAAACAAGACAGCCTCAGCCAGAACTGTTCCACTTACATTTCTTCTTGCAGACCACAAAAACAAGTCCTTAGAACATTCTTTGGTAGGCCTGTAGGCAAGGCAGGACGCCTCGCCACTGCTTTTCCCAGTAGAAGAAAGAACGACATAAACCTATGCACTTCTCTCGATCCGCGCGGATTTCTTGGATCTGCGCTGGGCCTCCCCGGCGCGTGGAGCACGCCAGGGGGGGAGCTGGAGGCGCCGCTGGGGGGGCCCAGCGCGAATCCAAGAAATCCGCGCGGAGCGCCAGAAGCTTATGTTTATGCGTTTTTTTTAAGCTTTCCTTCTCCGAATATTGCCCCACACTCATCTGTCGGGCCGGGCGAAAAGGGGGGGAAAGCAAAGGGGGGGTTTGAGAATCAGCTCACGTAGCTGATTTTCCCGGCGCCTCCCGGCGCCGGGAGGCGGCCATGCATCGAGGACTGGGCCCTCCTCGGTAGGACCGAACCCAGCAGCACGCGCAGCAAATTTCGTAACCCCCCTTTCCCAATCCCCCCCTTTCGCCCGGCTCCCCTCATCTGGGAGGCCCCGGAGCCTGGCAGGCCTCCGCGGCCCACAGCCCGAAGCCGCCGTCGGCGGGCCCCTCGCTGGCGGCGGCCTCCGCCGGCGCCCCCGCGCCGCCCGCACCGGCCGCCGCTCCGGCGGCCGCGGCCCCTCCGAGCCTCGGCTCGCGCGGATCGCGGAGAGCATGTCTTGCCATTCGCGGCGATCGCGGACGAGGAAGAGGAGGAGGAGCAGGAGGAGGAGGAGGGCGCCATCGACAGGGAAGGTGAGGGTCACGAGGTCCGCCGGCTCGACGCCCGCGTCGCCCGCGCCCACCCCCTCACTCTTATCCGCAATTGCGGGGTGCTACGTATTTTGCCATTCGCGGCGATCGCGGGCGTTTCAGTCGGCCCGTACCATAAGGACGCACGATAATGCCATCTCGAAGCTTCTCGAGCGAGGCGCAGCCAAGGAAAGTGGCCAAGGGCGGACCGAGGAGGGAAGGCTGGAGGGGGTACCCTTGGGAAGGCTGGGCGTCCTTGCCATGCGGTCGACTGTATGCTCGGGGGGAGGGGGGGGGGGCGCGGGGCAGAGGCACAACGTAACGCCCCCGCCCCCCGCCTGCGGTGCCGGAAACACTGCGGCAGCGCCAGGGACCCACTGGGCGGGGAGGGGCGTCATGTGATGGGGGAGGGGGGGAAGGGGGGCATTACGCGCGTTCGGGCCAAGAGGGTAAACAAAAAAACTCTCGTGGGATTCAGGGTACAGTCAACACCCATAGTGAGGATGCAAAGTGAAGGTACAAATATGCAACATCCTTGGAATATTCATTTACTGTTTGGAGCTCCTTGGACGTCAATATTGGCTCAGAATGGGCCGAAGAAACAGGGGTGCAACGGGTCGTCTTTATGAAATGGCGCATCCTTAACTACTACGTATGGATCTTGACAATAGGACGCACCCAAACATGCTCGCATCGTAACCAAAACAATATCAACATTTTTAATCGTTTTCGGCCCCTGGGGGCCCTTACCGGGCCCCAGGACCGCCGTCAACAACTACTCGGCATAAAACCCCAACCCTGGGGGAGGGGGCGGGATTTCCAGGGCCCGCGCATTGAGAAAAACAAGACTTTGCAGATCTTGGAAACGAGCTACGCACATGAACCTATCCTGGCCTGGACCATACTGGAGACCAGGGTCGGCGCATGCGTCCTCCCGGCCTGGCCAAGGAGGCGCATGCGCCGATCCTGGGTCCCCGGGGTCCAGGATTGGCCCGACCAGGACCTTTTGCATGTTGGAAGCGGCCGGGGGGTCAGCGCTGGGTGGGCCGTGAGACAATCGGCCAAGAGGGGTGGGGTGGGGGGAAGAGGGCAAATCTGCTCAAAATCGGTCCCAAGATCCCTCCCAAGGGCGAAACCGACGGTTTTCTCGAGCCGTCTCCAGTCGTGGCGACGAGTGGGGCCCTTCCCCCCCCCCTTCCCTGTTGGCCAGAGCCAGGCTCCAAGTTGCACGTGTGTAGCTCTCTCAGGAAAGCCCAAAATCGAATGGATAAGCCGGATCGGCAATCAGAATAAATCGGATCGGCGGAAATCGACAGCCGAGTCAAGAAAAATCGAATCGGCAGAAATCGGCAGGCTAGTCTGCCTCTAATACGAAACCGGAATCCATATCGGAATCCCAGGTCGAATCGAATCAGAATCGGAATCATTCGGAATGGAATCGGATCGAACCAGAGGAATCGAAACGAGCCCTGTTGTGATTGATGATACGTTTTCAAGCCAAGGCAAAAGGGGCCCCTAAGAGCCAAGCGGCGGCGAGTGGCGTACGAGCGTGTCATACACACACTATATATCACACCCGTGAAACTTTGTCACGAGCTAGCCGGTTGGCAGCCACTCTTAGGGGCTAGTAAAAGAGCGTCTCCAAACGAGACGCAACGTAAGGCGGCCAGGGTGGCGACAATAACATCACTTCCCCGTCGGGATAATGTTCACTCTGGCTCTAGCCAGCTGTTTCTTCGCTTTCTTGATCGTTGACTCCGGGTCCGGAGTAATATCGTAAGTACCAGTGGTCAATATGTTAACAAGGAAATCATTTGGTATAGCTTTAGTGAGGCAATCTACGGCCATGACACTCGCATCGATCCAACGGATCTTATCGCAGAACAACTTCGGGTGCAGGATTTCTACCTCTTCATCACCTCGTGCCCAAATGTCCTGACGGAGACTGCTCAGGTCAATACTCAAGCGCTTATCCTCCGTCTTTCCCATAGTAGGCGCTGTTAGGTGCTCTTCCAAACTCTTACAATCTGTCATCCAAATATATCTCATCGTCATGGCTGAAATCTCTTCCCAGTCTGAAGGGAGTTTATTAGCTACCCCAAGCATGCCTCGCGCATCAGCGATGGCAGCACGTATACGCACACCTGATTCTACACCCCAGAGACAAGCCAACGTCTCTGCTTGTAAAGTAGATTTGCACACACGCCTAATAACCTTGCTCGATAAACATATAGGGTGGACGTAATCACTGTTCCCCCCGACAAATCCCGGCCCTGCAAGTCCGTTGAACCTGGCCCTCTGGGATCTGAGCGGCTCCAAGTTGCCTCTTGCAACATCGTCTTCTCCAGCCCAGCTGGCATCCGTAACGGTAAGAACGATCATGTCCTTGTCCCACAGCACGGCACCACCTTTAAACACAAGTCCGCTGTCCGACGTCTGTACTGCTTCTTCCAAGACGCGGTTGGCCTCCTTAAGGTGCAATACCTTCGCATGGGTCACTGCCGTTTGCAGTCGACTCACGCGGTAGAGGAGCTCGGGCTTGCATTGCCGACAAACCCAAGACAAGGCACCTACACCTGACCTAAGTTGGGATGTCTCTCCTTCGTTACAGCGCCTGGTGAGGGGGCTGTCCCTGGGATTGGATACAGCTTCTATATTTTCGATGTTGTCCTTGGCCATGACGTGGGCGGTATAGTCTTGATCTTGAGCCATTTTTAACCCGCAGTAGCGGAAATCTCCTGACTTGACCTCTCTGATGTCGAACTCTGCCAGCACAGAGTCAATAATCCTCTGGCTCTCGTCGTCTGCGGCCCATAGTATGTCGTCCACATGTGTGCCTATCATACACGTAATCTCGTTCTTATCATTAGATAAACTGAAAAGGGCTGGCATGATACGGTTCTCTTTTAATCCGTGAGCTTTAAAACGTTGTCGGATCTTCTTCCATAAACCTCTCCCAGCGTCACGCGTTCCATAAACAGGCATACGAGCTATAAGCGCCCCACCATCCGGTACTCCTTCGAGCCCGTCGGGAGGTGGTTTTAATAACATGAGACGGTCGAGTTCTTGGCCCTGAAAATAGGCTGAAGTGATATCAGCGCATTTCTATGCCTTCTTCGTGCCTGCGGCCCACGATATTATCAGCCTTAAGCCTTCTAGCTCACATGTTGGTGAGTCCGTGCGGATGCCGAGAGATTTCTCGAGGTCTCCTCGTACCACAAGTCTGCTTTTGTATTGTGGCGCAACCGGTGGTCCACCCGGTCTGCGTAAATGTTCGTTTTTATCTACCTCAATCCATTGCGTGGGAACCATGCGATATCCCTCGTCGAGGAGCTTCTGCAGTTCTGAGGAATCAATGGTTACGGCAGCATTGAACCTTCGCCATTTTCCCCACTCGTCTTGTCTTGCGAGACGCAGTCCGCTCTTAACTTCCTCCGATTCCTTATGGAATGTAAGGTTCTTAGCGCTCTTCAGCTTCTTTCGAGATTGAGGCTTACTGATGGCTCGCTTATTGAAGAAACCAACAAGTGACTCGTGTGATTTGACTGCCACGGACGCAGTCCTCCTCTGGAGTAGATCTACGCCTGATCCTGTAGTCCCCGTTCTCTGCCATGCCTCGAGCAGCGGGTTCGCTGGCTCGGGTGCTGGTTCTGACGCTGAGGCGGATCTCCTTTCTGAGGATGATCCTCCTGTGTCCAATCTCCTTCACATCACTTCGCCGCGACCACGTAGGTCGTGCGGCACATCATCTAGCAAAGATCTCTGCAACGGGGTGCGCGGCGGTCTAGGCTCAGGTTGTTCGGCAGGGGAATCTTCAACTTCTCCCTCGCCTCTGTCACTAATGTCCCACCTGGTGCTACAGGTTGAGACTCTTCCATCAGCTCTGGCATCTCTAATTCCGGCTCCTCATGGATGACTGGGAGTACGTCCTCTTGAGGTGCTCCAGGCTGGCCTGCACCAGGTAACTCTCTTCGTTCGTCGACAAACGACTGCTGCTGACCTTCAGGAGGAGCGTATCGTTCCATGCCTCCATCCTGGTGCCGGGAAAGATATTGATATGCCAGAGCTTCAGCCGCTGTGCACGGTCTGAGCCTGTCAACCGCAACACACACCGGAACCCCCCTCGGTGATGACCCATGCGTTCTTGCCGTCGAACCCTACGATCCTCGATCCAGTACTCCATTTTGCAGTAACTTCTCCGTCGGTGGGCCTTTTGCGAAAGATAAACCACATCTCCGACCTGGCACTCGCCCGCCAGAGGGGCTGCTTTACGAAGCATAGCACGCGCGGTCCTGCTACCAACGTCGTGCTCGGCGAATGCTTTCCTGGCAGTGGCACGGATTGCAGATTGACGCGAGAACTCATCAGACCCATCTTCAGCCACGTTAGCCAATACACCCAGGTCGTAAGCTTCTTCGTCGTCGAACTGACTCCCCGGCACACGGGGCAGCCGACCGAGTACCCACTGAGACGGCGAAAAAACCGCCAACTCGGGACATCTCGTTCTTGGTGGTGTCGACCTCTACGGCTGTCGTCATAACTTCGTCGAGGCCAATAACGTTCTTGTCGTGGACCACTTTCTTAAACACGTTTTTCTATAGTCCGCCGTGTCTTTCGGTGCGTCCGATCTGCTCCGGGGATTCGACTCCTGCGTCGCGGAGATCGATCCCTTGACTCTTAACCCACTGTAAGAAGACACCTCTGTTATGTAACCCTCGATCCAACACGATCCTTTTAGGCTTTCCTGCCCAAGCACACCAGTGCTGCTGGAGAGCTGTGAGGCATGTCCGCGAAGACGGCATTCCACCACCTAGTCGAACGAATATGACCCGCTGGAACGTAGTTCCCTGGCATACGATATTCAGGAAGCTGTACCTTTCGCCGTTGTTGTCCTTCACCTCCAGAACATCGATCCCGATCTCGTAATTGAAACAGAACTGCGGTAACGGTAACGGCTTGTGATGCTCACAAGACTCACAACGGTAAAGTTTGG